GGGAAGTAGATCACCAAGAGCCATGAGTGACAGCATGTTCATGTGATACCAAAGGGGGAGGGGTGTGGGGAGGGATAAATTAGGAGGATGGAATTAACATATACACACTACTATATGTAACAGATAACCAACAAGGACCTACTTTATAGCACAGGGAACTATACTCAATATTTTGTAATAACCTATAAGGGAAAAAAATCTGAAAAAGGAGATAGATAGATATAGATATATAGGAATCACTGTGCTGTACACCTGAAATTAACACAACATTGTAAATCAACTATGCTTCAATAAGAAAATATTGACATCATTCAAAAAAATATACACAGGATGTGTCATTCTTTGTGTGATTATAGGTGATTTGGATAACATGAAATAAAGGAGGGCAGTAAAATAACCACATGGAGAGGTCTAGAAAGTGTAATTAAAATTTGGTGCAAATAGAAAAAGAAAGGAAGACAAGAAATGTAGATATTGAGGTATTATTGTACTTTTTTATGGTAACTTTTGTTTTTATTTTTTTTATTTTTAAAAATTAATTTTTATTGGAGTATAGTTGCTTTACAATATTGTGTTAGTTTCTACTATACAGCATGAATTAGCTATACATACACATATATCCCCTCTTTTTTGGATTTCCAAAAGATATTGAGGTATTATTGTACTTATTAGCCAGACACAGCCTAGAATACTATTTTACCTTATTTTATCTCTTTGTAATTATCACTTCGTAAAACGTTAAAATAAGAAAACTGAAGATTAAAAGACTTGAGATAATTCATAGATCTCTTAAATGGCAAGACCAAAATTTATATTTCATCTGACAGTAAAGATTGTATTTTCCACCACCCTTCATTGACTTGAAAAACCATGTTTAAGATTTTTGGCTTAAAATATTAGGCATTGTATTTGCAGTTAAATACACTTGAAGAAGAAAAGTGATACTACAGACAGTATTTGCTGAGAGTCAGGAAAGCAAATAGGATTGGAGCCTTGAATTAAAAAGAAAAATAGAACAACTGCTTATTATAAAGAAAGCAAATTGGCATATGGACCACAAGAAGAGAATCTGAGAGGTACTGCTATGAAGCCTATCCCTAGCTACAGGGTTTATGTCAGAGGAAACACATCAAGTTGCATTCATCCATATCTTTTTTTCCCCTTTCCACCCAGTCAGGCTCCATTAAATAATAAATGAAAGTTATCAAAGTGTATTTACAACGTACCACACCATGGACTGGTGAATTCAACTTGGCAATTTTCTGATGAAGGCATGATATGGACAGGAATGTGCAGATGCTCCTGCAAGCTGATTTATAGAGCAGTGCTGATTTTGATCTTTGGGAAGATTAGCTGTTCTGCCTTGCTGACTAAAGTGAGCTGCCTCAGAGATTAAATAAGGAACAGGTTTGAAAGGACTGTTTTTTCTGTTCCCTGCCATCTGAATGAATGCCTCTTAAAGGTTAAAATCCACAGAGTTATACAGTTTAGTTTCCAAATTGTAATTATTTATAACATAAAATATACAGCAATGGAATAACTCTAAAACTGATAATCCTAATCTGAAGGATTAAGAAAATAGATCAATGCAAACATTAATGCATTTTAGAGGAAGTGTAGACTACATTAGAAAATAAATTCAGGAAAAAAATAGAAAGATAATTTGGACTCATTATCAAGGTTATTTTCAGTACATAGTCATTACCATTTATGTAATTGAAACACTTACCTTGAAAATACCTATTGAGTATGTGTATATGTGTATGCAATATAGAGAATGTTAACTACATATATGTGCACACATATGCACATATACCATTTTGCCTTCATTTTTCACAAACAGCATCAAATTAATTGAGGCCATGCAGGGTGGTAAGATCCCCATTGTCCTTAACCCCACAATCTGTACTTGTATTTTGGATTATGTGTGTATTCACATCATCCACCACTACCCTCACATTTGTAAACATGATATAAATTCCTACTTTATAAGGACAATAGTTCTCAATAGGCAAGGATCACCCTGCTACCCACACCCCACACATATTCCAGCTAAATCATTGCAAACTTATCTGCAAACATTTATTTCTTCCTCCTGTTTGATTTTGTCAAATAAGGAGGAATATTATCATAGGTTCTTTCTTTCCACCTGTGATCGAGATCCTAAACAGGGCCATTTCTACCTCAGAGCATCTTTTGAATTCAATTACCCTCTCTTTAGTATCCCCAGTTTCTTGTCTCTATTGACCTTTTATCCATCTGCTATAAACACACTTTCAGTCTCCCACCTTACAATTAAAATCTCCATTTTATGATGTTCTCATTTATTTGCTTTTTAAAGTATCTCCCTGGCTTTACTACAAAGCTTCTTAAAGGGGATAGTGTTGTTTTTTCTTTTTTCTCCTTTTAATTTTTTTCTCCCATTTCCTTGCCTCCAATTTTCTCTCCACCACACTAAATTTGTTCTTCTCTTCATTTTAGCAAATAATAAATATATATATTTCATTCAAGTATGTAAAATGGGTAACTTTTCAGACTTTGAAGAGACAGATTCCTGAGTTCAATTTTCTGTCAATCAGTTTCTACATGGATACAATTCTTTTTCTCTGTGATTCAGTTTGTTTTATTAGTGAGAATAATAATATTCCCTATATCATAATGTTCCAGTTAGATTGAAAGGAATGATAATAGGTGTACCAGCTCAATAAATATTTGGGAAAAGTTCTTAAAACTCATCCTGACACAGAGGAAACACTTAACAAATATTATCTGCTGTTACTATCTATTGTGATGATAATGATGATGCAGATGCGGATGGAGAGCTGAAAACTGCTCGTGAGAATCACCATGCCCCCTTTTGCCAAATCGAATGAATCTTTATAATCCTAAATTGTGTTTTAGTTCTAGAATCCTTCATATTTTTAATGACTATCTTCCTCCTGTTCAGCATCCCTTGGGAATTTTCAATGATAAAATTCACCTCTGTTTTTTGATATTTTCTTCAAAGACTCTATTTCTTTCCTGCCTTCTGCTTGTTTCTTAAATACTGGTGTTCCCTAGGGTTCAAGACTCATCTTTCAGAAAGAGTTATTCATCTGCTTACCTGGATTTACCTGAGTGAAGAAGCCATCCAAGGAATGAAAAGCAGACAATCCTCACTTCATTTTCTAATCCATAGTATATCCATTAATTACTCTAATGCTTATTGAATGCCTACGCAATGTCAGAAAACATGCTAGACATTGGGAATGCAGTGATGAGTTAAAAAATAGTCTTGTCCTTGTGTAGTTTCTATTAACAATTAATTAGAAATACTGACATCAAATGAGACCTTATCACTTCCTGCTTAGATAGCTCAATGGCTCTCCATTGGGTAAAATTTAACAAGGCCCTGTGTGCTCACCTATGCACTAACTCCCTCACTCTCTGCTCCAGGATCAATGAAGATTTTTAGGTCCTTACTGTACCATGTTCTACTCCATTCAGGTTCTTGTTGTGTTTTCTTTCCTCTTCCTGTAATGCTCTTTACCTAACTACCTCCTAAGTTTCTTTCAGTTCTCTGTTCAATCACTGCTGACTATCAGACAGCACCAAACACCCTAGATTTTGTTTTCCCAACAGCACTGTATAACTCTCCTTCATAGAACAGTTTTATTACCTATCTAAGAATGCATATGATATTTGATTGGTATCTCTCCACTTCCATAGATTGGAAGCTCTATGCAAGAAGACAGTGACTTTGGTTCTGCTCAGGCTCTCATGACTCTTGTAGAGCACAGTTATGGGCACACAAGAGACACTCAAAGCTCACATATTTGTTAAATGAAGACATGGAAGTTGACTATTTTTGTTAACATATTTTTGATCCAAGTTTGACAATCTCAGAAAGTTGAAAATGAGATATTTTAGGTGAAGAATCAATATTTTATATAGACCAGTGATGACTACTTCTTAAGTATTTACACACTTTAAGCTCTGCTTTGCAGGCCCCTTTTGAAACATACAAAACGCATATTAATCCTCAATTTTAAATCAATATAAAATTGTGATTATTAGAAGAATAAATGAGATTTTATACAGTGTGAAAAGTGTATACAAAACACACAAATAGATGATTAGATAGATAGCTAGATGATAGATGAACGATAGCTAGATTCAAATAGATGATTGATGGATTGAAAGATAGATTGATTGGTTCACTTCGATATTACAGTAGCACATCAGAATAAAATTTCTCATCCTGTGCTCTGAACATATTACACAGTAGACTCATCTGGAGTACTTGTTAAAAAGGCCAATTCTTTACCCCCACTCCATCCTTTCTGAATCAAAATATGGAGGGAAGGGCCTAGGGACCTAAATGTTAGTATATTTACAAGCTGAAGTTGTTAAACATTTAAAGACTGAGACATACTGCATTAGGAATTACATTTAAATCCTTCTTTGCTAATTGCCTGTGTTCCACTTCATTTTTACAAGGACATGAGCATTATTGTCTCTTAAAAGCAAAAAGCAATAGATTTAGTCCAATGACAAATTCTTAGGAATAAAAAAGAATGGGGAAGAAGGTTAATGGTTTCACTAAAAGATCCATCCAAGCAAACTCGTCTCCTAAATATTGTTAGCCAACATGATGAAGTTTTTTTTACATTAGTTAGAAGGTCTCTTAATGCTACTTTGTTTAGTACAGCATAGAGTAATGACATTAATAGAACAGGCATTCATGATAAATATGTTATCTGAAAACAAAGATGGGGCGACACATTCATAGTGCATTCTATATCCAATCTTCCCACCCTACTAAAATACATTTCTTAAGAGAGGATTTAAACAGTTAGACATATTCATAATTAAAATGTAATTACATATTAAAGAGGAAATATTTGATCATTTTAATGACAGGACAATATACATTATTCATACCTCTGCCAAATTTCCATTTGTGGAAAAATGAATGAAATGCCTAAATCACTAACAGTATATATTTATATATTTTTTACCTTCTTTAAGGAAAGGATCCCTTCTCTGGTCTCTTTGTCAGTGGAGATAGAGAATATCCCAACACCATCACCATTAATGATGGAGTATGTCATGTCTGCATTTGAACCAGTGTCTGCATCATTCGCCTTGATTTTCCCAACAGCTGAACCAACTTGGGCTGACTCAGGAACATACAGCTGATAGTGCTCTGAAAAATATTTCATATTAAACTTATTTAATGATAATAATGTTCATAAAATAATAATCTTATTAGAAAGAGACATTAAAATATTTAGACCATACATCTATTTATGCTTATATCTCTTTCACAAATGTTCACATTTCCCTATAGACACTTATGAATTAGACATTAAGCATAATGGACATGTTGTTATCAATTGTTTTATTGTCAAGTTAGAATCATATCTATTACAGCAAGTTATTTATATAGCAAATCTCAAATAGCTATATAAATAACAGAAATCTTTAATTAAAATGTAATTTTATAAAGATTTTCAACCATGATTAAATTAATGGTGATTTAACATTATACATAAATACAATTAGACTACATGGATAAGTGAATATAAAACATCTATAAAAATAATTTCTCTGAGGTAATAATTGTTTAGTTGTGTTATGATAAGTTTTTTTAGGTTAGTGCATCTGGTAAGTGTATGGAATATTCTAATTTGCTTCTAAAGGTACAATTGTATGTTTTGAAGTGCTGTATGTTGCTACTGAACATCGACGTGTGTGTGTGTGTGTGTTTGTGTTTATTCATTATTCAATAGAGATATTTCCCAGTCCTCTTCTATAAATGTATTTACACTACTTGACTTCAAATGTTATTTTTTAGTTCAACAGCCCTCACCAACAAAACATTTCATGGGTAGAGCACCTTCTTCTGTGAAACACATGATCCCCTGAGCTGAATCACGTGCTTTTATCAGGACCTGTCATATTGCTAAAGGCTCTATCCCTCCTGACAAAGCTAATTGACCTGGGAAGAGCATGAAACCCACGTTTTTACAGGACTCCACCTTGCCCTTCACAGTTGAAGGGTAAAAGGATAGGCAGCTGATTCACAATGATTCACAAAAAGAGTATGCTCCCCGAAATATTCAAACTGGAACTAGGAAAGAACGTCAGTCCCTTTTTTTTTTTTTTGTGGTACGCGGGCCTCTCACTGCTGTGGCCTCTCCCGTTGTGGAGCACAGGCTCCGGACGTGCAGGCTCAGCAGCCATGGCCCACGGGCCCAGCCACTCCGCAGCACGTGGGATCCTCCCGGAGCAGGGCACGAACCCATGTGCCCCGCATCGGCAGGCGGACTCCCAACCACTGCACCATCAGGGAAGCCCTAAAATTTTACTCTCTTTTTTATTTTTTTATTTTTTGCGGTACGCGGGCCTCTCACTGTTGTGGCCTCTCCCGTTGCGGAGCACAGGCTCCGGACGCGCAGGCTCAGCGGGCCATGACTCACGGGCCCAGCCGCTCCACGTCGTGTGGGATCCTCCCGGACCGGGGCATGAACCCGTGTCCCCTGCATCGGTAGGCAGACTCTCAACCACTGCGCCACCAGGGAAGCCCTGTCAGTCCCTTTTTGATGGCAAGGCTATGAAACACTAAAAGGGACTTCTGACAATGGCCATATTTCCAAAATTCATGTTGAAATAACTAATCTAAGGGCCATAATAATTTTTAGAATCCTTAAAAATATTATGATGTTCCTAGGCAGTTACATACAAAATAGAACACTGTTCTGATGAAAAAATATATAGAAATGTTGCAAAATAAATTAGAACATGTCACCTAAAACTTTTTGAGGTAGTCTAGGAAGTCAAGTTCCTGGTTTCTAAAGTCTATAAATTCCAGCTAAACTATATAACTTGCCATAATTCAGTAAGCCTCACAAAGGACTTTCAACTAGCTAAAACTAGGACGATGACACTTGTAAAAAAACAAAAAAAAAGTCAGCACACAGAGATAAATAAGTAAATCAGAGAACTATTATGATAGTAGTATTACAAAGCACATTGTTTTCACAAAGAAAGTTGCAAAAACCTGTACCAGTGGGTCATAAAAATTCATGGCCCAGAAAACATTTTGGTAGAGTCTTACAAGAGGAAGAGTGTCCCTGGAAGAAGAAGATCAAGTGCAAAGGAAGAATTGATACTTGTTGATACACCAAGTATTACAAGTATAGTAACGTTTCCCCTTGCCCCATTAGACAAAATGGAGTATATTAAGATTAGTACTTTAACATTTTATACACTTTCCATATAGTTGAGAATTTATGAATTGTAAACTGTGAAAAACCTTTAGTATGCAGTCTCTGAGGTGGCCCCTGATGTTTCCTACTTTTTGATATTCATACCCTTAAGTAATTCCTTTTCCTCAAATGTTGGGTAGGTATAGTGACTCACTTCTAATAAATTGAACATAGCAAAATTAATGAGGTGTCACTTTCAAGATTAGGTTATGAAAGGACCATGGCTTCTATCATGGGTACTCTTTCTCACTTTCCCTTAGATTGTTCCCCTGGGGGAATCCAGCTACCAGGTTGTATTGAAGCCCTACCTAGTGGACCATATGACAAGTGACTGAAAACTGACAACAACTGTGTTAGTGAGCTGGAAGCAAAAACCATCGCTGCCTCCCCCTAGGCAAGTCTTTGAATAAGACCATAACCTGTTCTGCTGCCTACACTGGGATCTCATGAACCTGAACCTGAGGCCTCCAGCTAAGTCAAACCTAGATTCCTGATCTCCAGAAATAGTGAGATAATAAATATTGGTTGTTTTAAGCTGCTAAATTGGATTGATTTGCAATACAGAAATAGATAATCCATATACAACTGCACTGTAGTTGTCAGTGATTTGCAAAATACAAAGGACCATTTTAGTTCTTGTCATCCTGTTCACTTTGCATAATGTTTGGGGAAATTAAAACCAAAGCCATAACAAAACAAAAATCCAAACAAACAAACAAAAATCATGATAAACATTTATTCTTGGAATAATGTATTTAAATGTCTTTTTATCTCCACATCTTATTTTATAAAGAAATAAATTATTGCTGTTACGGCCAGTGCTCAAGATGAACCACTTGTCATATTCAAATTCTCAGCTCATCCTCCTAGAGGATACCATACCATCCAGTAATCACGCTCCTTGTTTTTTACCCAAAGGAGCTGAAAATTTCTTTTGACATAAAAACCTACACAAGACTATTATAGCAGCTTTATTTATCACGGCCAAAACTTGGAAGCCACCAAGATGTTCATCAGTTGGTGAATAGATAAATAAACTGTGGCACATCTACACAAGGAAACATTATTGTTAAAAAGAAAAAGAAATGAGCTACCAAGGCATGTAAAGACGTGGAGAAACAATAAGTGCACATTACTAAATGAAAGAGGCCAATCTGAAAAGGTTACATACTCTATGATTCCAATTATATGACATTCTGGAAAAAAAACAAACAAACTATGGAGCCAATAAAAATATCAGTGGTTTCCAGGGGTGGGGTGGGGAGAGATGAATAGGCAGAACAAAGAGGATGTTCAAGACAGTGAAAATATTCTGTGTGATACTATAATGGTGGTCATTCTACATTATACATTTGTTCAAACCCATAAAATATATAATACCAAGAGTAAACCCTAAGTTAAACTATGGACTTTAGGTGATTATTATGTGTAAATATAAGTTCATCCTTGGTCAAACAAAAAGTACAATTTTGGTGATTGATGTTGACAATGAGGGATGCTATTTAAGTGCAGGGGCAGAAGATACACGGGGAACCTCTGCATCTCCTTCCCAATTTTGTTGTAAATCTAAAACTCCTCTAAAAAAAAAAGCCTTATAAAAGAGGATTATATTTTAGAAATAATAATTAGACATGAATTTAAGATGCTATTATACAACTCAGAAGGATAATTCTAGGTATAGTGGATATCCTAAAAAGTGTATAATGAAGACTATAAAATGCCCAAACTGATTCAAACTATTAAAATGTATAATACCAAAGTATTCAAAATGAAATGTCTACTAATCACTACAAAATAGCTGATAGATAATATTTATTTATAAATCAAGAGAGGTTTAGAATATTTCTGCAGAATGTCCAAGGACTGAATGAATAGCCAGATACTTAAAATTACTCTAAATTCCAGGAGAATAACTACAGTGAGTCTCTTTTTTTAGATAGCTTTATTGAGGTACACTTGATATACAAAGAATGTATATATTTAATGTGTACAATTTCATGAGTTTGGACAAATGCAAACACTGGCAATATCATCACCAAAATCAAGGTGATAAATACATCAATGCTTTCCAAAGTTTCTTTGCATGTTTTTGTTTTATTTTGTTTTTTGTGGTAAAAAATATTTAATGTGAGATCAACCTTATTAACATATTTGGATGTGCACAACACTACATTGTTAAGTATAGTCACTATGTGGTACAGCAGGGCTCTAGAATTTAATCTTCTAGCATAACTGAATTTTTACAACCATTGAACAACAGCTCCCCATTTCCTCTATTCTCTTAGCTCTTTACAACCACTACTGAATTATATGCTTCTGCAAGTTTGACTATTTTGGAAACCTCATATAAGTGGAATCATACAGTACTTGTCCTTCTGTGACTGACTTGCTTTACTTAGAATAATGTTCTCCAGGCTCATGCATGTCACATATAGTAGAATTCTATTCTTTTTCAGGGTTGAATAATATTCCATTATTATTGAATATATACCAAAACAAACAAGGTATAGAAGGAAGATACCTCAAAATTATAAAAGCATATATGAAAAGCTCAGAGCTAATATCACTCAATGTTAAAAAAATAAAAAGTTTTCTTCAAAGATCCAGAAGAAGATAAGGAGCCCATTCTCACCTACTTCTATTCAACATTGTACTGGAAGTTCTAGCCGAATAAATAAGGAAGAAAAAGTAAAAGGAATACAAAGAGAAAGGAAGAAGTAGAATTATCTCTGTTTGCAGATGACATGACCTTATAGGTAGAAAATCCTAGAGACTCCATAAGACAAAAACAAAACCAAATAAACAAATAAAAACCCTGTTAGAATGAAGAAACAGATTCAGTAAAATTGGCAGTTTGCAAAATCAACACACAAAAATCAGTTGTGTTCCTATACACTAATGATGAACAATCCATAAAGGAAATTCAGAAAACAAT